GGTTATATTTGGTTTAGCTTGAAAAATGTTTTTAGGCAGTTCATGTTCTAGCTCACTGAAGGCTACTGACATAACCAGACAATACTAATGACTTCTGTCTCTTCTAGTTGTCATTTATGTGATTAACTGGAGCCAGTGCTTCACTTCTTCACACAAAACCGCATGCCATTCCCTCCACAGTAGAATGAAAATTTTTTGATGGCTTGAGATATTTCGCAGATTTTTTTCCTTTCCTACTATGTTCCCTTTATCTTTACTAGTTATCATTATCTGTATTCATATGTAATTTTACTGTATTTTCTTCACACTTACTGTGAGTTGTTCTGGTGTAGGTTATCATGACAATAGCTTGTTTATTTCTCTTCCCACTTGTTCCAAATTCATCTTGCCTAATAAAATCCCATATGTAGTCTCACATAAGTTCCATTTGTTGTCTCACATACTTCTCAGTTTATTTTTCTTTATCAGAGATCGAAAACTACAATAGGCATGTGGGTCATATCTGGCCCAGTCTGTTTTTACAGTCTTTGAGCTAAAAATAATTTTTGTTTTTTAAAACAAACAAAAAAACCCCAGACTGTATTGACCAAAAAGCCTGAAATATCTTCTGACATTTTGCAGAAAGTTGATGACCATTGCAATTTGTCTTAGGAAATAAACTTGTTTTCCATTTGCCCTGGGCAGTGGGGAAGGTAACAAGAGTCCAGTCCTAGCTGGAGTGATCAACTCCTACAATAGATTTTACCATCTCAGGTAACCTTAGTAGTATCTTGACAAGCCCAGGTCTTCACTGAAGGTCTAAGATTACTAGCATATGCCATGTTGAATTTTGTAAAGGAATTTCAGCTTCTAGAAAATGGAAGCCTATTATCATTAGCTCTTGATCTCCATGCATGACACTTCAAGTTAGAATGACAGGCATAAATAACATCATTATTCATATTTAAAGGATAATGTAGTCTTTCAGAAAGATGAATGAAAAGACAACATGGTAGTTTAAATTTTTGTTCCATTCTTGACTTTTAATTATGGCCCTAAGTCTTTGTGTGTGCATGTATATGTATGGTATGGGGATTAAACCCAGGGAGGCGCTACCCCAACCCTTTTTATTTTTGAGACTGGGTCTGGCTAAGTTGAGCTGGTTTTGAACCTGTGATTCTGCTGCCTCGGCCTCCCCATTATATAGTGGTGATTGAAGGCATGTACCACTGTGCTCACTCAGCAGATAGCTTTTTGTGGTACTGGAGATTGAACCTAGAATTTATACAAGCTAGGCAAGCATGCTACCTATAACTGAGCTACATATCCAGCCACTCCCAACATTTTTTTTTTTTTTTTTTGCCTCCTAGTCTTTAAACAGAAGATCCTGGTAATCTCGTGGATTAATGGGAATATGATAACTCATCCTGGGAAAAAATAGGGTATTTGTGGATATTTATCCAGATAAATCAGTCTGGCTGCAGTAATATTTTCCTAACCTTTTTTCCCTGATCCTTCTATATGCTCATTATTCCTTTAATTTGTCTACCAGGAGTGTTCCAGGCTCACACCTGTAGTGAGTACCTCTTTCCCATTATCTTTAACAGATATACCTCAGTCTTCAAAGGTATATTCATGCTTATATTTTTACTATTATGCTAAACAAATGTGGCATGAAGATTATACCTTAAGGTTGGAGTCTCACCTCTGCTGCTTAGTGCCTACATGGCCTTGGACAAGTTAAAAATAGTACCTTCTATGAATTTCAGTCTGATGCAGTCTGCTTTATATTCATTGTTCCAGGACTTAATTACAGGCCCTTTGCTGGCAGGACTTACCTTTATTTAGCAGCACTGCTCCATGTATTTCTGTATAAAGAACATTAGTGATAAAGAGTCCCATAAAATGCAGGTATGGAGCATAAAGAAATTGAGCAGTTTCAGTGCATGAGAGAGGAGAACTGGTTAATAGCTTTGGTTTGGAAACTGGTTAGTGGTGATGAATCATAAAGCCATTCTTCAATTACTAATATACATAGGGAGAGGGGAGAAATCCTTTCTTGGTTAACCTCAAGGCTTAACTTGTTTTGTCAGGAAAGAGAATGAGGGGTAGGTATTTGGCAAATTTGGGTGACTGCCAGCTAGTACCAAAGAACTTTGTCAATATTTTTCTATATTCATAGAAAATGCATAGCTGCCTCCTGCAATATGATGTTTTTTTAAAGGTAATTATGATTCCTCTGACAGTTCTTGGGCTTGTAAGTTTTTCATTGAATGTCTTTGTCACTTAGGATCTAAAAGTAAACCATATCCTTCCTGAATGTTAGTTTATATTTTCTCCCTAACACTGTCATAGTAAGGATAATTCTTATGTTGTAAAAACAAGTTATTTCTTTTGATGTGTTGTATTTTATTGGCTCACTTTCTTGTCTGTCCTTAATGTACAAAGTAGGTATTGCTTTATAATTTTTATACTTCAAGATTCATGAAGGCAAAAAAAGAAAGATTCATGAAGGTATCTCTTTAAGTGAGAATTCAGGAGCCTGAATTTTAAAAAAAAGTTCAAGAAGACCAAGAAGAGAGCTGGGATTTTGGCAGTTCATGCAGTTCGGTGGTAGAATGCTTGCCTAGTATGTGCAAGACCCTGGGTTCAGTTATCAGCACTGATTTAAAAAAAAAAAAAAAACAACTCTGAAGAGACCCAAGAGTCAGTGTAGACTTTCTAAACTCAAAAGCAAAGCTAACTTGGCTTTTATATAATTAACTAGTTTTGGTTAAAAAATTTTGGCAAGCAGGAGTTTGACATGGCCTTGTTACCTTTGCCTCTCTGTTTTCCTAGAAATGGATACAGAAACTGATTCCTTCCTTTCTGGAACAGAATGTAGAGACCATTCATTCTGCTTCCTTCTGGTTGTGGCCTTCCTAGCCAGGCTTATTTTGCACAGAGCTGGGAAGCAGTACTTCTATGCCAGCCTGGGACTCTGCAGCCAGAGAACTTGAGACCACAGGAGTCCTTCAAAAGATAGTTATAAAGATTGGGAATGTAGCTCAGTTAGACTCCTTGCCTAGCATGCATGAGGCCCTAGGTTATGGAACCAGCCAACCCCCCCCCCCAACCCCCCCCCCCCCAAAAAAAAAAAAAAAAAGCTCAAGGGTAGTCACTGGGCTAATTAGAAAAGAGGAAAACACCTTCAAATTGGGAGACATGAGCTGGGTGCAGTGACACACACTTGTAATCCCAGTGACTCCAAAGCAGGAGGATCTTAAGTTTTGAGGGCAGCCTGGGCAATTTAGTAAAACCCTGTCTTTTAAAAAAAGTGGGGATGCTGAGGATGTAGCTCAGTGGTAGAACAGCCCTGGGCTCAATCCCCAATTAAAAAAAAAAAGACATGGGAATGCCCTGCTTATGCTAGGCTGAGCCTTCACTGAATCCACTTAGCACAGGATGGGGGGCAGTTGCAGTAGATGGGAGCAGTCAATGTCTGTTTCAAGAAAGGCTTAAGTCTGCCAGTTGTCTGGGAATGTATAAGGGTATCCTGTCCTGTGAAGTCTCAGAAAACATGGTTGATTCTTGGCTAGCTGTGAGGGAAAACTGGCATGGTATTTGAAGTTGAATTTGGGTTTGCAATCTCAAGTCACTCTCTGGCCTCATAGGAACATGGTGGAGTGAGTTAGGAGGATTTGGATTTCCTTTTGGAAATCAGGTGGTTTTTGTGTTTTTCTTTTTTCCTAAAAGACTGGTCTAACAAAGTTGCCAAAGGACACCCCCCCCACACCACTATACAAAGGTTGCATTGTTTATGTATCCAGTGTACTCTAAGTAAGACACCAAATCAGATGCAACAACCCAGCCTTGCAGAAGCCCTGTTTAGAATGTATTTTTTGAAACAACTAGGCCAGTAGCCAGAGTGGAATTCTTTAAAATGGGACAGATGTCCAGAGAATGGTTGGTCTCCTGTAGCATCCTCCCACAAAGAAGTAAGACTGGGATTACAGCTTCCAGTGGCCTATTTTAAAGAAACACTACTCTAGAAGATGACTTTATAAATATTTTTAAAATATAAAATCCAAAAAGTTAAAGAAAAAACAATGCATAATGGTGGCTTAGTGGCTGTGCCTTGTGAAATTTTTTGCCCAGCATTTATCTAATGGCCAACTGATCTATCAGAGTGGTTTTTATGATCTCTTTCACATTCACAATAGGTCTCAGGAAGTTAGCAGTGTATTTTAACATGGTAATTGCCTTGTAAAAAGCATACTATAGATCAGCAATCAAACTAAACAGGTCTTTTATGAAAATAGGAAAAATCCTTTTTTTTTTTGGTACAGGGGATTGAACCCAGGGGTGCTTAACCACTGAGCCACATCCCAGCCCTTTTTAAAAATAAATTTAGAGACAGGGTCTCAGTTGCTTAGGGCCTTACTAAATTGCTGAGGCTGGCTTTGAACTCTGTGATCCTCCTGCCTCAGCCTTCTGAGCCTCTGGGATTATAGGCTTGGGCCTACCGCACCCAGCAGGAAAAATGCTTTTAGTACCCTAATAGACATAATCGTCGCCAGCAAAGAGTGCTATTAAAATCTTTTTTGTAGGACTTTATGATGATGGACAGTTGTAAGAGATTGATTGCTTTTATTTTCCTTGAAAACAGGATATCTTTTTTCTGCTCTGAGGGAAAAAGCCTAGTGTTCATATGCAACCATTTTGTTTTCAGGGTTTATAGGATAGCAGTTTCCAACTCATCACTTTAAGGGCACTGGAAAACAGGCTTTGCTGCATCAGTTGTGGGGTAAAGGTCTGTAGTCTTAAGTTTATTCTCAGCATGAGCCCAGCCTTAGGGGTGGGGGTCCACGTCCTTATAGGGTAAATGACAAGGGTGATCTCTAGTTTCTGTAGGTTGGAAGTCTTGGGAATATGTACACCATATTAGGCAATTAACCCCCAAGTTTTGTGACCGGAAAAGAAAAGGTAAATGTCATGCTGTTACCCAAACATCTTATTCCTCAGGGTCAGACTTTGAAAAATCCAGTAAAAAGTATCTTTATTCTCATGTTTTAAAAAGTTTTTCTTTGATGATTCATTAACAATACAAAAATATTTTGAACACTACATTGGTCCTTTTTCCTCAAGACTTTTTGCAACACTACACAAGAATAGGTGATCTTTGGATTCCGAGAAACCAGTGGCTAAAGTATGTAACTAAAGGCTTTTTGTAAGGGTATATATGAGTACACAGACAGCCCTTTTTCTTTGGATTCAGGCTATGTACAATGAGGAGAAGGCAAAAGGAAAAAAAAAAAAGTTAAATTAAAATAAAAGACTTGTTTCTCAAGGCTCAGGGTTGAAGCTTGGCTCAAAAATTGATTAAAGTAGGCTGTGGTGAAAACCTATGTCCACCACTAGAGGTTTCTGGGCTCCTTTAGTTTTAACAGTCCTCTTCAGCCCCAAAGGGAAAAAAACAAGCTGGCCTGGTCTGAATGCTAGAAGGCAAGCTCTGGCTATTGGAGGAGGTTTTGGGTTTACTCTCTTAAATTGCCCAAGAGCTGGCTCAAGTGACATGGATGAGCTGGAAATGGAACTGTGAAAAAAAGACTGAATGGAGAGGGATACATACTAGATTTGGGCCATGACTTCTTTGAACTATTTGCCTGCATCACCTGGTGCCTGAGCTTTGGTGTCAGGGTTTCTTAAGTTGCTCAGGAACCCGCATTTGCCTGATAAGTTGTTAGGCCTAAACCTATTCCATTCCCTCCTCCTCTTCTAAGCTCCTGAGAATATACTAAGAGGCTTCCTCTGGTCCAGCTTATGAAGAGCAGCTGGTTTTCTGTAAACAGCTCCTCCATTCCCTTTGGAGAAGCATAGTCATCTTGAGCTTTGTGGTTGTGATCATGCTCAGATGATGTTTGATAAAACAGGTTATTCTTGATCCATGGAAGTGTCTGGTGTGGGAAGGGTGTGGCAGAGGAGGACGGATGAGGCATTTCTGTAGAGAATGTAGCTGAGCTTAGTCCTGCCCTTCTGTGACCTATAGCAGAAAAGCAAGGGAGACAAGGGTATCTGGCTAGTAAAGCACATGGTTTGGAGCGGGGTGGGGGACACCACAATGTAGGCTGCCACAGGAATCAGGATTCCCTTAATGAGACGACACACTGGCATTAATATGGTCCCACCACTTGAGAAGTTTGAATTGATGGCTTCACGTTCAGGCAGAAGTTGTTCAGCCTCTGAAATCTTCAGGGCATGGACCCTACATGGAGTATTGGGAGGGCTGCTGGCCAGTTTCCATATGACTGGGGCTTCTTCTGCTTTCTCTAAAGGGATAGGCCTCTGGAGGAGGCCAGGAGTCCTGTGCATGCTAGGCCGCCTGCCTCTGAGATTCCTGTTGCTGTACTTGTGTGTTCTGCAGGGTGCTGTGAGGGGCCTGTGGTGGTCCAGGGGCAGGGAGACTGAGAATAGTGGAGAGACGTGGGGATGTTGGTGCCGACTCCACTGGGCTAGCAAGCAGTTCTGTGGGGAAGAGGGGCAGAAGGTATGAGGGTGAGTCTTGGGGAGCTGGGGACCTAGGGCAGTCTAGAGCACTGTCATCGGAAGGAACGGGGCTGGGGCAGCGGCCTTCTCCGGGTAAGTACCGAATGCATTTCTTTTTCCTCCTAGGAATAGTGAAGAGAGTTATCTGTAAACAGAGGGTGAATTCACAGTCATACACCAAAACCAAAAAAATGCTGTCTTTGCACAGGTTGGCTGACCTCTTGTCCTCTCCCCATGACTTGGGTGATGGATGTGCTTATGTCCTCAAACCTGAATCAGCCCTGCAACTCTTGGGTTTGGCCCAGACTAGGTCAGGTGCAGTTTTCAGAACAACCACAAGGTGGGGACCTTTTGTAACTTGGCCTGTGGGGGCCCCCCCTCCCCCCAAGGAAGCCATCTCCTAGTGTGGGTCTTTAAGCTTCTGTTTCATGTTTGTGGGGACTCAGATCTACATTAAGGCAAAGGACTGCAATGCCTGTAGTTCTTGGCTGAGCAATCCATGTCTTCAGAGCAGGGCTAAGGGGAGAAGAAGTGGACTGGGACTGTTGTATATTACAACCTAGAATTCTCAAAGCCACAGTTGGTCTTTTGAGTAGAACAGAATGATGAGGGCCTCATGTATGCACACGTGCCTCCATCCACTAATTTTTTTCTCCTTGCCCTTGAATAGGGACAATGATAGGCATACCAGAGGGCTGAACAAGTGTTCCATAGAGCCATTGACCTTACTGTCTGAGTACCCTCAGCCTTGGCTCTGTCAGGTATGGCCTAAAAAAGGCATCTTTAACCACTTGGTGGGTGAAACTTTTCATACCCATGATAAAAAACAGAAATTTAGTGCCACAGGGCTCTCTGGGTAAGATAGTCCAAGAGTAATGCTGCTTCTCTCTCCTAACCTCTCCAGCCCTCTGATCTCAGTAGGTATGAGAGAAGAAAATCATAGGCTGCCTGGCGACAAGGTTATTTAGGTGGTTGTCTGATGTTATCATTTCGTTTTTCTCAGATTTAAGGGCTTGGGATGGAACAGGCATGGGTCCCACTTTGAAGAAGTGGAAAGCCATAATGATTTTGAGGCCTAGGAGTAGGGGCTTAGGCTTTCTGAATGATATGTGACAGATCTGTCTGCTAAGGACCTACTAGGCCTGACTGGCACCAGAGCCATCTCTTTAAGTCTGCTTTCCTTTCTGGAACATTCTGCATGTCCTACTCCATTGTTTTCACCTAGACCCAAGTGCTCTCACAATCTGTGTTCAATGTTCACTCCCATTCTTAGGAATCTCTTGGGTATGCCAGGGGGCTGAGGGACCAGAGGGGGCTGCAGGCCCAGCAGAACATGTGTAGTCAGGGAAGCAGCTTGAAGCAAAGGGAGAATGATGGTGGGGACAAACCCACCTGCAGGGACCACACCAATCCGTCTGCTGGTTGAGGCCAAAGCGAGCACGACATTTCTTAGGCGAGCCAGTGTCTGCTCACAGCCATGCCAGAGGGGCAGAGCAGGGCAGAGGGCGAGCAGGCAGGCAGCAGGGCAGAGCAGGGCCCAGAAAGAAGAGGTAATATCAGTGTTAGCCAGTTATAGACATCCCACAGCCCCCACAAGCAGAATGGACCTCTCCATGGCACAGCCAGCCCCAGTGGGAGCCCTAGGCCCCAGAGCAAGGTTTTAGGAAAGGAGGTAACCCAGCTGGGCAATAGAGTCAGTGGGAAGAATGGTGAGGTGGAGTAAGGGTCCTCAGGCTGGCTCCTCTCTTTTGCTTGTGGGAATCCTTCTGACCTGGAGACTGCAGAGAAGCCCAGGGAGGCTCTTGGGATCCAGCCTTTTCTGCACTGGGGCTGTCCATCTCTTTCCCGACTGCCTGCCTATTTTATCCAGTTTTTCTTCATTCTTGCCAATGCCCAGTCTTTCTGACCCGAAATCCCTTAAGGGCTAAGGCTACAACTTACACTCTATGTGTAGCCTCAGAGAAAGAGCTGCAGACTTTGTCCGAACAGTCTCAATCCTAGTTTCCAGCTTCCCACTATAGGGGCAACACAGCTGAGAAAGTCACGCATGTGAAGCAGGAATTCACCCACAGGAAGGAGACCTGCAGAGTGTGGGTTTCCTGGGTCCTCTACACAGAGCACTTTACATTGCCATGAGAAACCAGAGTAAGAGATGGGGATATGATGGTGGAGAAATTGCCAGGCACTAGCTAGCAGACTGTGTGACCTGGGCTGGGCCTGGGCCTTCGTCAGCTTCTGCCCAGACAGCCTGCTCCTCCTCCTCAGCAGAACTAGACAGCCAGCATACTCTGGCTTACTCCTGGAACCACACTGGCAATTACTTACCAGCTTTTCTGGTAGAGTTTAACCATAGGTAGGGCTGACAAAAGTGGAGGATATATCACCTGCTAAATGAAGACCCCTCTCCCCTGGGTGTCAAGGGGAGCTGGTCTTCCCTTGGATTTAGTATAGCTGTTCCTTGCTTGGGAATTTGACTTGTGAAATGCAGGCCTTCATTTCCAGAGGGCCCAGGCCCTGAAGGTTCCTGGCTGAGTGCTCTGCTAACCCCTCTGGGTCAGAGCAGAGCTGCTCTTAAAATGGGAGCATGGAGAGGAGCCTATACTACTGTTGAGGCAAGGCCTCACCTGTGGTAGATTCTTGATGCTTTTCCCTTGACCGCCTCTTCTTTTTCCCCTGCAGGGAAAAAAGGAAGGATACTTAGATCTGGGAGGTAGACACTGGGCTATCTGCAGCTACTGCCTAGCCTAACTACCCCTGGAATTCTGGACATTCACGCTCCTCCAACCTGGGGGTCCTATAGTTTCTTGATTGCAGTTCTTGCTAGGCTGCCATGGAGTACATTTAGGGGCTCTTCCCTCTCCCAATCTGGTCTACAATTTGAATGGCCCCTTCCCCTTCTTACCATGTGGCCCAAATACTGGCAAAATCCCATGTGTGAATGGATTCTAGAGTGCAGAACAGGATGTGTGGGCTTGGCTTTAGGGTAGCTCCCCAGGCTTGCCTCTTCTGAGCCTTGGACTCTCCATGCCCCTACCTCCTCTATACCACATCTGTATTGGTCAGGACAGTAGCTCTGTTTTTCCACCTGAGATTGAGTCCTGAGACACAGTATTTTGAAGGTTCCCCTGCCCACCCTTGCTGGATGTGTTTGGCCACTCACGTAGTTGTCCCGCGCTGACCAGCCTGGGTATAGTTGCATGTGCAGCTGCCTTTCTTTACGGGCCAATTCATAATACTTGGCCTGTTCTTCCCTTGACAGTGCATGCCACTGCAGGGGTGGGGGGGAATGGGGTACATCACAGAGTCAGCAGGGTGAAAGGGATCAGAAGTCCCCCCAACCCACTTGCCCCATGGCCTCACCCTGCGACCTAGAATCTGGTTAATGGCGGCGCTCTCCTTGAGTGTGCACTCTGCAATGACCTTGGCTCTCATCTCCTTCATGTACAGCATGAACGCGTTGAGGGGCTTCTTAATGGTTGGCTTCTTAGCCTCCTTCTCTGCCTTGGATTCTGCTTGTGTCTTCCTAAGGGACAGATATCCAGACTGCTCAGGACCAAATCCCTCCCCGCTGATCACTGAGCACCTTCCTTGAGTGTGGGTGCATAAGTGTATGTAAATGGACTCTTTTTTAGCTGACCCAAATGAATGAGCAGAGAGCTAAAACAGTGGTCAGTAGCCAGAGCCACAAGAAGGCTTAGAGGGGCCACCAGGCAGTTCTTGGGTCTGGTGGGAGGCATGTGTGACCAGGCTGACAGTAGATCTGCTCACTTGCCCATCTTATACCTTCTTGTTCCCCTTCACCCACAGAGTGTGTTTTTACTCACAAGCTGCGGTCATAGGGCTGCAGCTCCTGCTTCCCTGAGGTGGGCACAATGGCCGGGTGAGGGATGGCTGCTGGGTGACCAGGGACACCAGAGCCCAGCATCAAGGATGGGTGGGTAAACCTGGAAACAGGAAGAGAATTAACACTGAGCCAGGAATTATGGGCAGACCTTCAGACATACATGGAGGCCCATGCACAGTAGACAAGGACACAGAGGAACAGATTCCCCATCCCCACTGACCTGGACACACATATACAGAGATACATACAAATATCTGCTCCCGACACATTACACAGACACTGCAAAAATCCACGGATATGCCATTCGGGTGGTTACTAAATAGTCCCAAGTAGCTTTCAAATGTATCATCTTCTCCCCACCTGCCGCCACCAAGTCAGGCTGAAGAGCTGGGGGCTGCCTGTGGGCCTCCTCACTCCCACTTGACCCCCTCACCCCCTCCAGGGCCCTTTCCACACACAGCTAGCATGACCATTTAAAAGAATGCTGAAATTTTCCCACTGCCAACAGAATAAAATCCAGATTTTTCCCAAGTCCTGCACAGCCCTGCTTAAGCATCTATGCTGACATTTCTAGCTTCATTTCTACCCCATTTCCCAGCACTCTCCACCCATAGCTAAGCCCTGTTACAGCTGTTCCCTTTATCCCTGTCAGGAAATGTTAACCCTTTCCACAAGGCGCTCTCTGACCCATCAAGCCTGCTTGCAGTCTCCTTGGGGGCTTCCTGATTACCCACTGGCCCACTTATAGCTGTGCTGTATCTATACCTCCCACCCTGAGCTGGGAGCTCCAGTGGAACTAGAAATGACTGCTGAATTTCTTGCTGTTATATTCTTGACACCAGGTCTGTCACTGAGGGAATAAGCTAAATGAAAGGACACTTGTGCACTCACCTCCCAGCTTACTTCCTTACTGTTTTGTGGAGATCACTGTGCCCCTTGCTGCTTGCACAGGTATAGGATCCCTGAGCAGGCAACCCCCTGAAGGACAGAGGCTGGGGACACTTATGTAGAAGATGCTGCCTCAACTTGGGCAAAGCTCACGGGATGCCCCAGTAGGGATGCAGAACAGAGGTGAGTGCACACGCATCTGCACACTGGCTGAGCTATGCATGCACTGCTATCCTGGCTTCTTTGTTGCTTTATTGCACATATGGCCTGGACAGGGGCCTCTTACACTCCTACCAGTTTTGCTGTCAGGCATTAGGGCAGCAGGGGGCTGCAGGATGACAGGCAGACAGATGGACAAACAACTAACACGGGGTAAGCACTGGCCTGAGCATGGCCTTGTGTGGGCACTTAAGCCTGGGCAACAGGAAGCAGGAGCCTGGCTGCAGGGGTAGGGGACTCACCTGGGGTAGGGGGTGCCAGGGGCTGCAGTGGGGGCAGGGAAGTGCTGTCTATATCCGCAGGAAGGGGACAGGGGGTAGAGAGGAGGGCTGGGCCTGTGGTTGGGAGAGACAGCTGTTAGCAGTCTGGCTGCCAACCAGACATGGGAAAGCTTTTGTACCTTCTTGGCCTGACCCATAGTCTTTGAAACAGATTGGCTTCTGCTGGGATTACTTCTGGCATCTGCCACCAGGGGGCAACTTGTGCTTCACCTTGCCCTTATTTCACTGGACCAGCTTGTGCTTAAGGGCTGGAACTGCTATTCTCCTGGGACCCAGCTTAGCAGGCTTCCTGGGGCCCCTCTAGCCTGTCTCCTAAATTTCCTTGATAATATAGGGCTGATACCTGTACAAGGGCCTCTCATCCTCTACTGATAATGTCTGGATTGCTTTTCTGCTTCAATTTGCTTGCTTTCACTCTTTGTTTATCCTTTGGGTCTTGTTTGGCTGTCACTCTTTTCTCTAAAAGCCCAGAGATTCCAAGCTAGATAAGGTACCCCTATGGGCTCCTACAGCCCCCATCCAAAGCAATGCTAACAGTGCACTGTGACTGCCTGGCTTCTTGCCTGGATCACTGGGCAAACTGAGTTTGGAGAGGTCAGGGACCTAAGGATCAGACAGCTGAAGCAGTGCTTCCCTGACACCCATAACCCTACCTGGCACACAGTAAGGCTCAGTTCAGAGTCTGGCAGCCAAGTGCTGCCTGGTAAGAGCTAAGAGCATAGGGCTCTCCCTCCCTGTCCCTAAAGACCTTCATTAGAGCCTAAGTGGGTAAATATCCCCTCTAGGCTCAAGTCTCTTGGCCTTGGAGCTACTAGCCTACAGTACTCTAGGGAGTTAACTGGGGATTGAACTCAGGGGCGCTTAACCACTTAGTGACATCGCCAGCCCTTTTTCTATATTTTATTTAAAGACAGGATCTCACTGAGTTCCTTAAGGCCTTACTAAGTTGCTGAGGCTGGCTTTGAACTCGAAATCCTCCTGCCTCAGGCTCCTGAGCCGCTGGGATTACAGGTGTGTGCCACCGCGCCTGGCCTAAGCACTGTCATCCCATCTTGATATCCTGAGGATAGTCCGGATTTGTATTTATAATGGCACTTTGTCCAAAGAGAATCTGGGAATGAAGGAGTGTGCTGAACATGGGTGTAGGGTAAGGGAAAGGGGGCATGCTGCACCTTTGGCCTTCCCTACCCTTCCTGGGAAGCCAACTTTTCCTTCCGCTGGTTGACTGCTCTACTCCAGAGAGCCTATCTGCACAGGTAACGTTATGGGTGACAAGTAAATGACTAAGTGGCCTGCGAAGACCCCATTTAAGCTGAGGATAGATCCTTTGGCCCACAGTCAGGCCTTCTGACTTGGGTCCGGGCTGGCTTTTTCTGGCATAGCCTTAGTACACCCTCCAAACAGGGTGGTCAGGGGCTTGAGCTCAATCAGGTACCATAGGGACAAGGGGAACCTGCTGTTCAAGCAGCTCAGCCATGGAAGAGACCAGCCAACAGCAGGTGTTGAGGCTAGTGGGAAGTGTCCCTCTGCCCACCAGGCAGCTGAGAAGCAGCACCCTCTCTGTTGGCTATTCATGCTGTCACCTCCCTACTCAGGCCTACCTTTTCTTCCTCACATACTCATATGGCTCTGGAGGTCCCTAAGCAGTCCAGAGTTCTCCCATGATGGAGAGTTCAGGTTTCATAGGGCTGGAACCAACAGCCAGCTCTCTGGCCTCTCTAGAGGAAATATGTCAACCAACCACAAGAACCCCTAGCTCAGAGCAGGTTGGGATACAATTGCTGGTCATCCTATGGTGTTTGTAAAGAACATGGAAGGGCAGGCAACGTTCAACCACCACACAGTGCCTCCTTCCCCTTCCCACTGGGCCCATACTCACCAGCTCACAGTATGAGGGAGCTGTCCCATGCTGCTTGAGGTCAGAGAGTAGAAGCCAGAGAGGTCAGGGGTCTGCAAAGGCCTGTGAACTCCTGCCATGGAGAGGAGCCAAGTAATTGGGCTAGCTTGATCTGGGGGTGACTTCAGCAGTTCCTGCATCCTAGAGCAACCTCTCTTTGTTAGAGGTCCAGACAAACTGGTTTGTTTAGGACTATCCCAGCATGATAACAGTGGCCTTCTGACAGGCAAGGGAACCAAGGGCAGAGGGGTTGGGTGACTCTCCGGAGTGCACTGGTTGACCAGTAGGCAGTCACTCAGGAGGTGGTGGCTAGGCCTCACCATTCCCTGGGCCACTGAAGCTCTGCAGTTGGAGCCTCTCTGCTGGGGGCTCTGCCTGGCTTTCTGACCAGGAGGTAGGCCCTAGTCGAGAGGAACCTTACCTGGGATGCCAGGCCTCCCCCCTACTAACCAGTCCCCCAGGTTTGAGTCAGCAGGTTTCCTACAGCTGACAATAGATTTCAGAATGACTTTGGCTGAGGGGAGGTGAATCAGCCATCACAACCACCACTTTCCATTTTCTCACTAGGACAGGAAGCTGCTCATAGTGATCAGAAGCTCACACTGCCACTGGGGCAGGCTTCTACCCCAACTTTAAGGCTTCATATTCTGACCTGGCACCATCTACCCAGTCCTCTGGTTCCCTCAGACTCCCCAAATTATCTTTCTGGCATTTTCTTTGGACCCTTGTTTTGCACAGCCTCAGGTTCTCTCATTATAAAATAGAAGGCCTTAGGCTGTTCACATCAGACCCCTCCCTATTCCAGGCCCATACCTTGTTTCTGGTTGATGTCCGAAGGTGCAGGTGTGGGGTGTGGGCTGCTGAAATGTTCGTAGAGAGGAGACAGTTGGGGGACACTGTGGGTTGGCTGATTGGCCTTGTTCTGAAAAATTAGGAGGGCAGGTGAACCTGGGGAGTCCTGAAGGAGGAAGTCATGAGGGTAGGGACATGCATATAGGCAGAGCTGCAGTGAGCAGTGTGGGCAGCTCAACTGTCAAAGAAGTGGTGCTAGCCAAAACCACAGGCCTCAGGGAAGAAGGCATCCACCACTCAACCCACCCTGTGTCCAGCAGTGCAGTCTTCTGCCCTTTAGCCCCCACACTTTGCCCAGGTAATCAAAACCTCTTGGATTTTCTGGGCACTCAGTTCCCAGAGGCATATCTCTCCTGTCTGGGAATCTTCCTAGCCTACTTTCCCAGAGAATATCCAGCTTGTTTGAGAACCAGTGGCTTGTTTATAAGGGCTACTCACAGCCACCAGCCCCAGGCAGCAAGGCTTAGAGCTTTTCCTCTTCCAGCCCCTAGACTGGGGGTCCTGAGTCTGACCCTTAGCCCCACCTCAGTGCTAACTGGATACGGTGATACCAGGCAGGACCTCCCCACCTTGGTCCCCTAACTCAAGAGAGGTGGGGCCAACCTGCCCAGCCCCCAGTCTTCCGGTTTCCTCAGCACTCTTACTTTCCTCAGGACTCTCACTTTTCACACTAGGCGCACAGCTCTTTGTCCTGAAATGACTCAGTCAGCAGGCTGGGGGAAAGGGCTCTCTATATAACCCAGCCACAGGGAGTCACTGCCATGCCCAAGGCCCAGCTCTGCATGTCCTCAGTGCACACCTACGCAGGCCAGAGCTCTGGAGACTCATCATCCAGTCAAGGCTCAGCTTCCCACTCAGAATGTTTCTGGGGATGCTGCTGGCTAAGAGTACAGATGAGTGATCTCAGACCCGTGGCACAGAAGAAAGAGGGGACATCTTTTGGGGCAAGACAGTAATGAGAAGGTGGTTGTATTCTGGCCTCCTAGGGTAAAATTCCCTGCCCGGTGAATTTAACCAGATTCTTTCAGATCTTCAGTTTCCTCTCCTGGTAATGGCTGCAGCCTAGCACAGGTTCCTTGGTACTTGTCTATTGGGGGTCCAGGGTAAGGATGTAGGGAAAGCTAGGTATGAGCCCCAGTATAACCAGGAAGTGAAGCTCCCAGCTGGGCACAGGCTCCCACAGCAACAGCAACAGCCCTGGCCTGCCATCTGCCCCTGCATTCCTGCCTCCAGGCTATAAGCTGCACCAGTTCTTGGCTTGCCCCAGGCAGACAGGAGCTGATGTCCTGATAGATGGCTAGCAATAGGTAAAGAAGTAGGCTGGGACAGGTGTGGGATGTGTGGACACATGTGATATCCATCAGACACTGAGTACCTACCACATGCCAGGCACTGTGCCAAGCACCTCACAAGTCCAATTTCATCCCTACCAAAGTGCACACGGGCTGCCACTTCTATCTAAATCCTCCCCTAACTACCAACTCATGTCTCACTCCCTTTTATAGAAACCCCAGCAGGCCTAGCCTCTAGTTCTCAGCTCTCATTCTTCCTTCAACCCGTTCCTCTACCAGAAACTACTATCAAGGTCCCCAATGACTTCCACAATTCTGAACTCTCAGGTCAATTCTGTCTTCATTTTACCTGATTTCTTAGCAGCATCAGACACAATTGGTTTCTCCCTCCTTTTTGAAGCCGAGTTTCTTCGCTTAGCTTTCAGAATGCTACACATTTGCCTAATTTCCCTCCAACTCCACAGGCCCACTTTTTCTGACTCCCCAATACCTTTCTCTTCCAGGCTCTTGCTTTAAACATCTTCATCCAATGACTCCACATTTCTATTTCCAGACCCACTTCTCATGGGACTCCACATTCCAAATGCCTATTCAACTCTGCTTGGAGGTCTAAAATGCCCCCCAAACTCAACATATCCAAATCAGAACTTTTGACTTTCTACTCCATATGCTCCTCTCTTCCTCAGTTGATAACTCCAACCTGAAGAGTTGCTCAGACCAGAAACCTTGGAGTCGTCCTTGATTCTTCTCTTTCTCATACCCCGTGACCAACTTTCTACCTCAAAATCTAGAATCTGCTAGGTACAGTGGCATGCACCTGTAATCCCAGCTACTCATAAGGCTGAAGTAGGAGGATCACAAATTTGAGGTCAGCCTTGACAACTGAGCAAGATTCTGTCACAAAATAAAAAAAGCTGGGAGAGTCTCTAGGATTCAATTTCTGCCAAAAATATTAATTAATTAATTAAAAAATAAATAAATCTAGAATCCACCTACTTTTACCTTCTTCCCTGTCCCCCACCTAGTCCAAGCTGTTGTCACTTCTCACCTGGACAATTGCAGCAGTCTCCTCCCTGTCCCCTCCGCCAGTCTTCCCTCTAATAGCCAAATAAGTCAGGTCATGTCACTCATCTGCCTAAATCCTCCAGTGGCCTCCCTAACTGTTTTCCTCACCTGGGGCTTGCAAAGCTCTGTGTGAGGCTCCCTCTGGCATCTTCCACTCTTCTTGCTTACAATACCCAGGATTACCCATAGGTGTTTCAGCCTCCAGCATCCTTCTCCATCCTCTGATATGAAGTCAGTTGGGAAGCAGAAGCTAAGCATCTATTCAAGTAAGAAACTTCCTAGAAATCCCTGAGGTCTTTTTGTCCTAACAGGTTCCCAGAACAGCACTAACCAGATGATAGGCTTTGGCAGCTGAGGGCAGGGAAACTGGGCACAAAGGAACATTAGACCCTGGCAGAAAGCATTCCACCATTCACTATCTAAAGGTACAAACGCCTGGAGCCAGCCTCAGCTCCCCAGGTGGGATGACACCTCTACAGTTGCCTCCAGAATCAGGAGGTTTTCAAGTCTACACTCCTGCTTCAGAGAAGGCACTACCATCCAAACTTGGCTCTGGCTCCTTAACCCTTAGGACTGAGGAGACCTGGGTAGCTTAGAGGGAAAGCTGGGTATGGACAGCTCTGACCCTGAAAAACCTTAGGAGCAGGGCCTGGAATCCAAGGTGCCAGCTTTAGGAAGACAGTCCTATGCACTCTGCCCAGAGCCGCTGCAAGGCAGCAAGAGGGTGGCTTGCCCCAGGTCACAGCACAGCTCAGGCTGGGCCTGTGGAACCTCAGAGAAAACAGCTGAAACTATAGCTGCTGGCCTGCTATGTATGCACGTGACAAGGCAGTGGAATGATGGGAGTTCTGGGGGAAATGGGTTTGTCCTATCTACCAACCTTCCCTGGGAACAGGGGAAAAGCCTCATTAAGCAGGAGCCTCCAGCCAAACCACAGAAGTGCTGGGTGGGCAGAGGTGGGGCAGAGAGCTTACTGGCAGTTGGAGGGCCTGGGGTGGCCAGTCCTTTCCATGCTCATGCAAGCTGACTCCAAGCCTCACTCCCCAGCCCCCTCCGTATCTAGTGGTAGTAGCCAGAGATGAACCCTCTAGCACAGGGCCCCTTGTTCCCCTTGCCCGTTCCAGGGCTCCAGCACAAGACTGTCCCAGGGTCAGGCTTCCAGAAAACAGGGTGGGGTCACTTATGGTAACCATGCCCAGCCCCCAAGGGAGGGAGGCAGGCCTGGATGGACTGTCCCCACCAGGCCCTGAGTGCCTCAAGAGCACAACCTCATCTCTCTTACTCTGAGAGCAGAGTACACAGTAAGGGCTTAGAGCATGATGGGATGCATTAATACATAAGTAATGTCTGTACTCTTCTCTCAAGATACCCCAGGTCCCTGTTCTTTGCCTTTGCCTGAGCCCTCATGGCCCCTCCCACCAGCCTGTGGCACTTCAGGACAGGTCCAGGACTCAGACCCTAAGGCTGTCTGAGAGTCACCCATCAGTCCCCACCAATACTGTCCAGCTTCCTGCTGGATGCTTGGACCCAGCTCACCCCCAGAAGAGGTGGTCCTTCCTGATGCTACATTGTTCTTACTGCTCAAAGACCTTTCTCCACATCTACTCAAGTCTACCATTCCAAAGGTGCTCCTCCCTTTTAGGGACACTTTCCATAGGCTAGAAATTTCTCATCTGGTGCTCTAGTGTGTCGTCCTCTTTTTTTGCAGGTTGAAGTCAGGAAAGGGCCAGGCAGAGGGAGGTGGAAATGGGGGACTCTTGAGGTAGGTGTCTGCTCTGGAGTTGATCTTGGGTCTGGCTGGGCTGCCCCTGCCTCCTCCCAACCCCCCCCCCCACACTTCCTGCAGGCTCAGGTGAAAAATAAACACAGTCGGCATTTTCCCTGCAGACCGCAGCGGTCTGCTCTGCTCACAAGCTGTGTGCACGCTGAGAGCCCCTGCCACCACCAGCAGAGAAACTCCCTCGCCTCTGACGGTTGACTCTGAAAACCCCCAAACACTTGAGCCCCACAACACTTTCCCAGCAAAGAAAGTTGCTGTTTCCTCTGGGCTCGAGCCTAAGAGGTTAGAGGAGCATGATCTGCCTAACCAGGCCCTCCCAAGAAGGCCTCCTTATGGCAGGTACTGCAGGAGAAGAACCTCTCACATACCAGGATCCATCAGCATGCGTGATTGTTCAGGTGTACAACTGAGCTCCACTCTGTACCAAGCAAAAGACTGAAGCCCAGAAGAGCATTTACTAGTGACAGCTGAATGCTGAGTGTTTACCATGTGACAGGCCCAGTCCTGAGCACCTGAGTTTAACTAGGATATTCCTAAAACAAATCTATGACACGGATAGTTACTATCCTCATTTGATTGATAAAGAAACTGAATTTCAAGGTCACACATAGTAAGTGGCAGAGCTAGGATGTCACCTACTGCACTGCTGGGGCCTTGTTGTTGTGGACAGAATAAGCTGGGGGGGGTGCAGTGTGTGGGGGCACTGTACTAGTCCTAGAGCCAGTGCTCTAGTTCCGAGCCAGTGCTTTCCTGACCCAAAAAATGCTCTAGAGGTCAGGGACCCTTGGTATGAGTTCTGGCCACACCTGCCTGCCAGGGCCACTGGCACTGGGAGCCCATCTGATGGTGATATTTGGATATGGCCCTAAGGTCCTAGCCATCACACCCCAGTTATGCTGGCCTGCTGTGGCGTAGTAGGGGTGCCTCCAGCTT